TTGGCATTTCGTGTTACTTTATTTTACTATTGCGCATCCTGCAAAGTATACGGCTATATCCGTTCTTAGTCATTTTTTTCTTTTTCCCATATATTCTTTTGGTTTTATATTATTTTATTTTTTATTTCTGTTTCTTTTTTTTTTTTTGGTTTACTCGGTCTTCCAAACGGAAATGGCAGTTTCTTGTTTGTTCAATACAGTTCAATATGCAATGCAACCGCCATTTTCTTTTCGTTTACTTTTTTGATTGCTTTTTAGTTACCTTAATGCTTATCCTAAGGATTTCTGGAAGCGAAAGCGTTGAACTGTTTACATTGCTTGAAAGTGTTCCGAGACATTCGGGTTGATAAAAATTAAATTACGAAAAAGTAAATAACTTGATATGAACACATTTATTTGATAAATTTTGAAAAAACGATTCCAGATATAATTCAAGAATTTACTTAGAACTACAATAGTTAAGTATTTTAGTACGATCTATATGAATTTATAATTGAAATTTCGTATTTCTACTTGTACTAATGTTTGCTCAGTGGTTGCTCTTCAACCTGTGTTGTCTTTTAGTTCTACCTATTAGTAAGCCATGACCAGGCATTATGATTCACGACGTCAATTTATGCAATAATGTTTTAATTTTGAGCAATCCATTAAAGTAACTTACATTACATTAGTATGTATCAATTCGTTACAAAAGCTATTCTGTTTAAAATATCAGACTTAAAATGGATACTATATATTACCACGCAAATATGCTCGCTGAATAGTAACATTTTATTGCTGAAAATTAGAAATATTTATACTTTCTTATAATAGTTCACTCAGTTTTCACTGTTATGTAATTACCAAAATAAGAGTACGTATCTCTGAGAGAGACCAACTTTCATAATTCCTTTCCTACAATTGACTGCAAAGGAATTGCAGAGATTATCAATACTATTTACCAAAAACTGTGTTATGTGTATTCCTGAAAAATAGTAAATGTGAAATATATCGAGGTATTCTGATGTTTAGATAAAACTCAAGTAGGTGTGTTACATATATATTTATCCACTACCAATCTCAAACCGATTTGTAAATAAAAAACCTGAAGTGACGCTACCTAATAATTTTGAGAAGCTAATAATAGAAATGAAAACAAATAAAACAAATAAACAACTATTGAATTTTTCGTAAACCAGAAAAATCCGATTTTTTAAATGATATAAAAAAATTAATAATTAATATAGTCCTCATATCGAGAAATGAAGTAAAAAATAACTAAAAATTAGAATCTTTTTAGATATAAAAACATTTTAGATATATGTAAATTTGTTTAACCAGGTTAAAATCCATTTGAACTGGACCACCCTGTTGTTACTCGTTTATTTTTGGTAAAACAGTTAATAATTCCTATTATTATGTTTTCCTCTTTAGTTTATTCTAAATTATATGCGGTGTCTCTTGCTAATCAATTTCTTAAGCTTAATAATTCCATGACGCGATATGTTTACAGTCTCAGGAATGCAATTTTAGGTTGCGACATTGAATAATTTATGAAGATTCGGGTCTGTTAGTTACTGTTCAAATTTGTTAATGCTAAATTCCCTGAATACTTTTTTAATTGTCTGCAAGAATCACGATCCAATAGATCTCTTTTATTTATTATTCTTAGATTTAACTTGTTTTCACAACTTTTCCCTTTATCCATTCTGTCAGAGTATGGAATTCGCTTTCATGTGCAACCAGAAACACAAGTAGAGTAGAAGCTTTCAAAAAACTGCTAATTAATACATTATCTTGATATCACCACTTGATATCTGACACTAAATTTTATTTCTTAATTATATATTATTATTTTTTTTTATACTCGTATCTTTTCTGTTTGCAATATTTAGTTATTTGTTCTAAATTTTTAATACTAAATTTTTTTATTTTGATTGAATTTTTTTTCTCTCTTATTTTTTGTTTTATAATCTTTTATGCTTTATTATTTAATAATTTGTAAATTGTTATTTATTAATATACATTATTTATCTCTTTATTTTTTTTAGTTTTTAAGTTAGTTCTCAGATGATGCAACAAAAGAGTTTTTTTCCGCTTAACGCATTATTAAATAAAATAAATAAAATAAAATAAACTGCAACTTTTTAGAACATCATATTTTGAAACTGAGTTTTTTTTTTCAAATAAATTCTTCGATTTAATTTCATGTTTTTTAAAAAATCAACTCAAAGAATAGGCTAATAGGCTAGAGTCTTCAAAGAAGAGTCTTCTCGAGTATATCAAAAATCTGTAAAGTTTTAATAGTGTCTTCTGAAAATATGTTCTACTACCAAACGTCATTTGGTACCAGATGTCACCAGTTGGACGACTTTAAATACCACTATGCCATTAATATGAAGTGTGGTATGTGATCTTTTACGTCGCCATTATTAGTTGGCAAAGGTTTTGAGTGACCATCAGAATCATGGGCGCAAATTATGTCACCCATAAGCATTAAGACACCTAAAACTTCTCCGTAATAGGCATTCAATGATTTAAAAAATACAAACGGAAAGCGATCGCTGAAGAATTTTTTCAAGAAAGGAAAAAGTAAATGTTTTTCAAACAAATAAACAATAAACATTTACAAACTATTATTAAGTTATATATGGTATTCATATAAATATTAGTTTAAAAATTCTGGCAATTAAAATTTTGGAACAGTCCAATTTAGCCATTAATAAATGTAGAATATAAAGCGCACCTAATCCAACTTAAAGCAATCATTTAAGAGTTCCATCTTCATAACCACAAATTCTGCCTATAATAACAGTCATAGAGAGATATAGGTATAGTGTAGTATATCCAAAATAAAAAAGAAGTATTTTTGCATATTTTTTGTACATAATGAAATGTAATATAGTGCCATATTTAAATCCACATTTATATCTACAAACATTTTAAATTTAGAATGTAAAAATTGATCAGAAAAACCAGAAGAGAGATTAATATAAATTGCAAGTAAGGAATTTGAGAAATTTTCAATTACTTGCAATGATTTTAAGTGGCATGAATTTTATATAAATTGAAGTAAAATTTTTAAGAAAGTGAAATTTATATACGTTTCAGTGCAAATCCACCTTGAACTGCTTGAATGAATGAACGAATGAATGAGTGAATGAATGAATGCATGCATACAACATGCATGAATGCTTGCAACTGATGAATTCAGTTAAAACATATGGTGGATGTATTCGTGTGTTGGTGGCGAATGCAGGCTACAGGCTGCAGGACGTAGGACCCAAATACGGCAAAGGAGTTAAGTGTAATCGAAACGTTTTAGTGCGAACACATTTTCACTTACATATTCACTTGCATGTGGCTAAACAATTTAAGGGAAAACGTTTTAGTATCCTTTTTAACATAAGGACATGAAAGTAGACTTTTAACATAAACTGAATTTTGTAATTGATAAAAGCCTTTACCAAAATTTTCTGAACACCAGCTGAAGTTTAGAAATTAAATAAGTGTTTTGCATAAAATTTATGTTCTTACATAAAATACTTGCAAATCATTGCAAGTATATATATATATATATATATATATTTGCAATAATTTGCTATATGATTTGATATAACATATACCTTCTGCTCAATAAGTACCCGGATTTTGATAACTACTCCTTAAGTAATAGACCTTTTTCAAAAATTTTCACCCTTTCTTGATATATGTTACAAATTTGAGCGCCATCTGTCAATTAGTTTGTTTACAGCAGCTGTTAATGTAAGACTACCTTAAGTGCATTTAGCGATTTTTACTATGGAAAATTTAGTTGAACAACGAGTTTGTTTGAAATTTTGTGTTTTGATCGAAATTTCATGTGTTGAAGCATTGAAAATGGTGTAGAAAGCTTACGGGGACTCTTCTATATCTCGAACACAGGCCTACGAGTGGTATAAATCATTCAAAAAGGGTCGTGAAGTGACCGAAGATTTACCTCGTTCTGAACGTCCATCAACATCAAATACCGAAGAAAACGTGGCAAAAATCAAGAAAATTGTACTGGAAGATCGTCGTATGACTGAAAAGGAGATTGCTCGTGACTTAAACATCTCAAATGGATCCGTTCACCACATTCTACATGATATATTGGGCATGAGACGCGTTGCAGCTCGACTTGTACCGAAACACCTTGATTTTTTGTAAAAAGAATACCGAAAGAACGTGTGTGAAGAAATGATTTTTGAGCATGGAAACGACTCTACATTCATGAAACGCATCATAACAGGTGATGAGACATGGGTTTATGAGTATGACATCGAAACCAGTTACCAATCGAGCGAATGGCGCTTCGGAAACGAGCCAAAACCCAAAAACCGCGCAAAAGTCGCTCGAAAATCAAAGTTATTCTCACTGTTTTTTTCGACAACCGCGGTGTTGTTCATTACGAATTCTTGCTAGAGGGTCAACAATTACCTCTTCGTTATGCGGCATTTGCGTGAGTCCATCCGTAAGAAAATACCAGATTTGTGGAAAGCCAACAATTGGATTCTTCACCACAACAATGCACCATCGCACACGGCTCTGTTGTACGCGATTTTTTCACCAAACACGGCAGCACTGTCATCGCTCAGGCACCATATTCGTCAGATCTGGATCCGTTCGACTTTTTCCTGTTCCCGAGACTCAAATTGCCCCTTCGTGTTAAGCGTTTTCAGTCGATTGAATCGGTAAAAGAGAATTCCCCGAAGGAACTAAAAGCCATACTTTCACGGGCCTACGAAAAGTGTATGGAAGATTGGGTTAGCGTCGGCATATGTGCATCGCTTCAGAAGGATCATATTTTGAAGGAGATAAAATAAATTTGGAATAAAATTTAAATTTGTGTGTTTTATTTACAAAATCCGAGTACTTATTGAGCAGAAGGTATATACATTAAGTCACAAAGGTTACAATGGGCTGCTCATATAATTGAAATAGGGTGGGAGAGAAAGCCGAACAACATTTTCAACGCAAAACCGATGACAACCAGGCACAGAGGTAGGAAAATAACAAGATGAGATGAGAATGTGTATGGTGATGCAAGAACGATTGGAGTACTGAACTGGAAGAGAATAGCAGAAGATAGGGACAGATGGAGGCAGATCATAAGGGAGATCAATGTTATATGGCACTGTATACGAGTTTTTTAAACCTGTTGTACAAAGAAAGTATACTAAAGTCTTTGTTAATTAAGTAAATATACGTCAAAATGTTAAAAAATTTTAATTTTTGTATTTATGATGCCATATAACAAAGAAAAATGTGCATAATTATGGTAGATTAAAGACTAGTTGCGGGCCGCACAAATATTAGCCGCGGGCCGCATGATGCCCATGGACCGTGCTTTAAACAGCCCTGACTTATAGAATCTTACTAAAACTCATACATGCGTCTACATTTCGACTTTTATCTTTATATTTGATCTCATCTAACATAGGATAGTACAGACAAGGAAGGTGGGAGTCTAAAAACGTCTCATGGAATGGTGTTGCCTCACAATCAGAACTAATATTTGTTTACAGACATTTGGAGATGTCTACAGGCTTTGCACTGTTGTTAGCAATTGTATAGTTGTTATGGCGTACTATACATAAGCAGACAGATTGTTGATTCTTTTTCAAGTGTTTACTAGTAACAAGTGTTTACTACTAATGATAAAAAAGCACACTTAAGAAACCAATGCCAGAATTTTGTTACTGGTTTATTCAACCCACTGTAAGATACATCTCTAGTTTACTTATTTGGGTTTTTGATTGTTTTGCTTGCTTACTACAAGTATCAGAATTTTACTATAGCAAGTTGCAAGTTTAAATTAGAAAGATTTAATTCTGGATTAAGTAACGTTAAGTTTTAATAGTTTCTCAAGTGTCTGCTACTAACAATGAGAAACCCATATAGTGTTATATCAGTAATTCGCTGTATTTGTTTTCGAAGTAACTATACTTAAAATATACTAAACTTGCAAATAAAAAATTATATTCTATTTAAATAAATACAAATACAAATGAACTATTAAAATGAAGCCCCTTCACATTACTGTCGTTTGGAAAACTAAACGCAATATATTCTGCATGAAAACACATTGGCTAACCTTGAGCTCGTTTAGGTGAAGTCAGGCTACCTATAAGTTGCAATCAAAACTGATCACCTTCCTTCCATTTAGCCACTGCTGTTCATACACTCCTAATGCACTGCATTTATCCTTTCAGCCTTTTTATTTATGTCCACTGTTTGTGCAGCTGTTTTGTAGGTGTGCATATCAAACACAACTAAGTTGCAAACAAGGCCGTAAACGTTGCCAACCATTTGGTGTATACACGACTATACAAACAGTAGGAAAATACTATTTTAAAATGATTTGACATTTAAAATGATTTCGAAATGGGGTTTAATATTAGAGTGAAATGGAAAAAATTTACTTTGTACCATCAAACTACCAGAAAAAATGCGACCGAAACAAATTGCAAACAAGGTCCTTTTTAAAAAATTCATCGTGTGGAATAAAGAACTAAACATTAGCAAGCATTTTAGCCAGAAGCCAAATGAAAATTGCTTTCAGTTCTTATAAATTTCAATTTTTTTACTCTTTCCCAGCATTTAATATGTTTTTTATGTGTTTCAAAATTGTCTGACTTTTAGCATTTAGTAAGTTTATTAAAGAATCAAGAGTTCCTGGGAAGTTTCAATTAAAGTAAAATACCGTGTACATTATTTTAATGATTTTAATGCAAATTTTATGTGTTTTATGTAAGTTGAGAGCAGTAGTTGTGAAACATAAAATCCAGTTAAAACTTGGAATTTTCGTATCATATATTTTCACAACATATGCTTTCGTACTTTTAGTTAATTTCTTCATTACACATACTTGTCACTTACATATTGTTAACACAATCGTGAAAGGGATGAATTAAGTTTGCAAAATAGTTTGTAACGCACTAAAGTAAACTGTATAACCAGAGATAACAATATCTTTACCTCATAATAAACTTCTTTCTTCTTTTTAATTTAGAAATATAGAATGGAAACATTTATTGAAATACCTAAAAGTTGTTAAAACGACTCCAGCATTGAAAATCAAAAAACTTACAATATAATTAAGTATAGTATATATAATTACCTATAAATACTTTAACGTGAATTTTCGCAAATAAATTTGTTTTCAACAAAAGTATTTATAAATAATTTGTCAGCCTATATGTCAGTCATTACGGACCAATTAAGTTTATGATAATGACATATTGGGTTGATCCTAACTTCGTTCAAGTGCTGAAGACCCGTCACATTACAGTTTTAAATTAATTGCATAAAGCGAGTTAGAAAACAGAACAGAATGTTTTCTTTACATCTAAATCACAAACTGTTGAAACTAAACGAATAGACCCATTTTCAAATTGTATGATAACGAACTAGGCAGAGTGGGTTATATACAGTAATATTGTATGAAAACTAGATAAAGCTTTATAAACAGTGTTAAATCCGTAACTAACATAGAATGTATATTAGCTATTATTTGTATTCTTCTAAAGCTGAATAAAACGTACAAATGCTATATATACTATGCAGAATTTACTTTATTCTGTTCTGCAAACTATAGAGCCAAAACTCGAAACGTATCTTTTCTTATTTTTTTCTCTAAGTAAATTTTTTAATGTCAAACCCTTAAATTGAATTTATGGTTGCTGTAATGAATGAATATTTACGCATGATATTGAAAATCAATGGTTTTATCCATTAAAAGTTACTACTACTGAGTCTCAATTGCACTTATGAAAATAACGTAAAGGTAAGAAAATAAAAAGGATATATTAGTTGTATCTATATTATCACCCATAGATCTACCTTAAACTGTGTCTGTTGTTATAAATAAGAAACATCAAAGTGTTTTGAACAGAAATATCAGACTTTGTATAAGATACAAATGAAATTGACAAAATATTTGCATCCATTAATGCATTAGGTTGGTTGTAAACTCTATACATAATATTACGAGGAATTAGAAATCAACAAGAAATTAGAAATTGGCTAATTAAGGAAGATTCGATCCTCCTTCTACTTCACCTACTCATCTACTTTCCACCTATCAATGCATCAGGCTAGTTATAAAATGTCCAACCCTCCACTTAATATTACCACGAATTAGAAATCAACAAGGATTTCTTAGCTAATTAAGAAGAATTCAATAATTCTCTTTCTTTACCTACCCACCTATTACTTTAAATGTTTAAAAACATATTCAAACTATTAATTGTGGGCTATTAATTAATGAATAACTTCAGATCTGGTAGCTGAACCAATCATATTGTTTTTTGCTCTTTCAATAACAAAATAAAAGTTTGAGTAATCTTGTAACAAAAATAAAATAATAACAGTTTTTCACCAAGAATTTCAAAAATTTAAGAAAAATTTTTCCAAGAAAACCATACATTGGTGTACTAGAAAAATTGCATTATTGAATAATGATATAGAAATGAAAATAAAAAAATACGTAATGAGTAGTTCTCCCATTCAAAAATTGAGAGAACTTATGAAGAAACAGACAAAGTTAGTAACACATTAGAACTGCTCAAATAAATTAGGACCTAATGTTAGGACAATCGTCGTGATGATTGAAGATCACTACGAAACAATCTTCGTACTCTCGCGAATAAGCAAATGATAATATTTTAAATGTAGTTGTTAAAGTCAATTAAAACGCAAGAAAATAACTTCACTGGCACATTTTTTTAGGGTAATTAAAATAAAATTTAGTTTTTAGTTTATAATTCATAATTTTTCAAAATCAGATATTATTCTAATAAATAATGTGATTTCAAGAAAGTGATGTTCTGCCCAAAGTAAGATTGCTAGTATGGCCGCTATTGAGACCGGTAGTAATACAATGAACTAGTCAAAAAAAAAATTTCGAACCATGTATCTCAAAAATGGACAGTATGTTCAATCAAACTATGTGATATCTTCAGATCTTTTTCTCTTTTTGCGAATCGAAGGGAAAACTGGGCCAATTACGTCAGATAAACTTAATAAAGTAACGCATGTTGCTATGATAGATCTTAATACATGTATAATTTTTAATGGTGAACACTTTTCTGAATTTTATTTAAATAAATGCATTTAATTGCAATTAATTTTCTTTAAAAGTTACTAAAAATAAAGTTTGGAAATAG